AGGAAGAAGGACACAATGTGTCCATTTCCCTCGGCCCTACTGTGCGCTACTCTCCAGAGCTCCGTGTTGAGCCCTCTATTCTGTATCCCTAACAACTGGGTGGCCTCGTCTAGCGACTCCGCCTCAGAGTTAGGGATAAATATAGTCCCTACTGCAGGCTTCGGTAGTTCGCTCTCAGGGATAATTGAGAGCACCGCCTCGCTCCAGGGCTTTAGGGTGGGGACCTTCTCGGACAGCCATTTGAGACTATCCTGGTCCTCACAGGTGATCACTATATACCCCGGCCTGTGGGTAAAGCCGGTGAATCTGGGTCCCTCACCCTTGTCAGTGATCTTGAGCATCGCAAGGGTCAGGGATCGGTGCACCAACTTCATTTGATCTCCGCTCATGGGAACTTGATTTTTAATTCCCACGCGAGATTGCTCCACAACCTTACTGAAGCTGGGTTGTGCTACCTTTCCCTCCGCACGGGGAGCCTTTTTGATTTGCATCCCCGGCGATTCTTCCTCCGACCTAGGCCTTTTCTTGGCCTTCGGGTCAGGCGGAATATTTTTGATCGGAATATCCTTCCAAGGCCTAACGGCTAATGCGCGGGCTTCGTCGAACCTCACATTAGCCGCCAGGAGCCTTCGGAGTCTCTTCCGAGCAGCACCGTTTAATCTGGCCGGATGGCTTAGGGATTCTTCCGTCCCTGGGTTGGAGTCATCAATGTCTCCTTCCCCGGCCGGATTGGTCCCTTCAGCCCTCAGGTTAGATACCTTTGACGGAGAGGCTAATAAAACCTCCTCCATCAGGGTTATGGTTTCTCCTAAAAGAGGAGAAAGAGGATCTCCAGTTAGAGATAAAGGTTTGGGTGTTTTATTTTTATTTTTATCTTCTTCCATATACGTCCCACGAGAAGCTAGGGAAATAAACATGCCCACCGACAGAGCCCCGCATGTCGATGGGAGGACAGAAATTACTACCCGATTCGTCCAGGTGTCGGGTAGCCACCGTTTGCGACTGAGCTCCCCCCCAGCCACGCATCCCTCGGCACGGTTCGGATCACACCTTGGATTGGGTTTATTTACAGATATATAAATATAATACATACAAATATACATATATACATTAACATATAATGTACTATAAATAAATAAATAAGTAAATAGATAGCAATAGCATATATAAATATATTTAATAAAGCAACAAGCGCTCGGTGGTTTCGGTTATGTCTATTTCCTAGTGAACTAGACCAAATAACAGGGCTGGCAACCTCGAGAAGGATAGTCCACCGAACTAGCCTTGGGGATCTTCGCGACTGAACACGTCACTCTCCCCCAAGACCAACGCCCCCCTACCGTCTCTGAAGGAGACAGTAAGGTAGGCCTGCGCCTATACTACCATGCAAAGCATGCCGTGCGGGAACCGTAAAAGCATAGGTCCAGGCCCGCCCCTTATCTGATTAGGTATCTGTTCTAAATGAAAACCCCCGTTCACTTATTTTTTACATTTTAGTGCCTGGAGTCTGTTTTTTTTTTAGTTTTTTTTTTCTATTTTTAGTGTAGACGTAATAAGCAGGTAATTTGTAAGAATAAAATTTAATACTTTCTTAGATTTACGCGAATATTTGACATTTTAAATAAAACTATCTTTTCGGATTTTGTCGCGGATTTATTTGTATTTTTGTTTCCCGACGTTTCGAATGCTTTACAGCATCCATGGTCACGGCCCGTGACCATGGATGCTGTAAAGCATTCCGACAAAATCCGAAAAGATAGTTTTATTTAAGAAGAAAAATTTTTAATAACATATTCGGTTATGCAATTTATTTACAAAAATTATTTATTGTTCATTTTTTTAAACCCACTCGACTGATTTCGATAATATTTAAATGGCACCACCTGGCAAGTATATCCTTCGAAAATAAACAAAAAAAAATCCAAATCGGTTCTGGCGTCTCCGAGTAATCGGTGAATATATATAAAAAAAGATTCTGACGAATTGAGAACCACCTCCTTTTTGGATGTCGGTTAAAAAAAGTAAATGTTTAATTGAATCTTTCTGGACGTGAATCCAACTCATACTTTAATAGATAAAACATATAACGCCGTCAGTCTTGCCCGATAAAATTATATTATGTAAAAAAGATAAAAATCTCAGAGTTCTTTCTTTTCCATACCTATTTTATTTCAACAAAACTTGCTTATTTAGTTATTCTTATATACGTACGTGGTTTACATACTATAGTTTTATAATAACGATGCACTTATCACGAAAGCACCCAAAGGGTCACTTTCTGCGTTTACTTCATGTTTACGGCTTTTTAACTTTCTCCTACAATTTTCACATTTTGTGTTAAATTTCCTACTTTACTATAATAGTAAAATAACTGGATATGTACTTCTTCTAGTGATACAAATATTTACAAGACACACCATAATTTAAACAAAAAAATATAAGAAAATGGTACATTAAATCTTACTAATATTATAAATGTGAATGTTTGGATGGATGTTTGTTACTCAATCACACCAGAACGGCTGAACAGATCTGGACGAAATTTGGCACAGAGATAGATAGACAGTCTAGAATAATAATAAATATGTTGGGACATTAACATACAGCACCATCTAGTTACATGGTAAGCTACGGGGCCTGTGTTATTGATACCAGATAGTTGACACATATATAACTTTAAATACATACATATTATAAATATGTGACTTGAACCCGCGACCGCTGGCATAGCAAGTACTACAAACTGAGCCAAACGTGTCGTCGAATAGCACATAGGCTACTTTTTATTCCGGAAAATGTGTGATTCCCGTGGGATAGATATGTTTTATAAAATAATAAACACATATTTAAACGGTAAAAAAACAAGTCACTATTTCGAGCTGAGGTTCAGAAGTGACAAGTCAAATGTTATGTAGAAACATCTCAAGTGTATTTAATTTCGCATATTATATTTCATAATATTTCTTAAAAAATCCATAAAACATAGTTTTATTTGCTTAGCTCAAAAATATAAAACCGGATTTTTTTTAATTGAAGGTTTATACAAAAATGCGTAAATATATTGTTTGACCTTGCCTAAAGTAAAAGAAAAATATTTTGCTGGTCCTTAAAAAAACAAATTAAGGTATGACGAATTAGAGTATTTTTAATTTATAGTTTGAATTGATGAACATATAGAAACGTAGTTGAAATTATAATACACAGACTCAAATTGTAGTAACCGTAGCTGTGCCAGCGGTCGCGGGTTCGAGTCCCGCTGGCGGTATTCATTTGTGTTGAGCACGAATTCTTGTACTGTCATGCTTGTTTATATTTATAATATGTATGTATTTAAAGTCATATATGTGTTGTGTAGTGTATCAACTATCTGGTATCCATAACACAAGCCTCGTAACTTACCATGGAACTAGATGGTGATGTGTGTTAATGTCCTAACATATTTAGTTAATTAATTAATAAATGTATATTATTCAATCGGTAGACATGTGACCTAGCTTTTGCAAGAAATATCAATAGACGAGATTATTACCCATAACCGATTAATTTAATTATCTATAATATAAAAATGAATCGCTGAATGTGTTGGTAAGCGCAATCTCGAGAGCAGCTGAACTGATTTTGCTAATTCTTTTTTTAGAATAATCCTTAAAGTACGAGGATGGTTCTTACAGAGAGAAAAATTTAAAAAATTGCCTGAAAAAGTCTAAAAACAACACTTTTCTATACTCCATACAAACATTTCCATACAAAAGATTCGTATTAATACTTAAAAGTTAATTTGAACTTTAACACCATACCATAAAGTTTAACTGTTAGTGGAGAGGTTCCGGGAAGGCAAAACAATTGAGTGACGTTAGTACCGTATAAATATTAATGTCAATATTATTAACATAAAAAATTTAAATTTATATGGTTAACGCTGGCTAATAACTATTTATATCTGTTTAAAATGTACCTAGCGACGAACCCGAGCCAAGCGAGGGTGAGCCGCTAGTGTTCAATAAATATAAGTAATTTCAATTATTATAAGTAGGTAGGTAGCATTTGAAATTTGATTGCAGACCAAAAATGTCCTGAACAGTATTGCAATTGTCAAATTTCGAATAAAAACTGTTAAGAAAGTCAATATTATAAGACTGCTTTTTAACGCGGGAGATTATCTCATTCCCACGGGAAAGTCGTCATACCATACTAACCGTTAAAACGTACTTAGGGACTCGAACGAAGGGAGGTTGGGTCGCTTGTAATATCATAAATATAAAAGACAGCTAGGGAAGCACTCGAGTGAAGCAAGGATAAATTGCTTGTTTTAAATGAGTATATTCATGAGAATAAAATAAACACCATATCGCACTAGAAAGGTTTTTGTTAATTTACATTTTACCGTTATTGAGACTAGCTTACGCGTACAAATGTGAACTTTACGTGAAACTTGAAAGCACGTACAGAAGCTCATTTCTTAGTAAAATAGGCAACTCTTACTTTAAGAGATCTACGCAATTACTGTATGTAGCAGTAGATAGTGTAGTAATATGGAATACTATTCTGTTTCCTTGTTTTGTTTTTGTATGCGTAATATTAAATTTATCAGAAAATATTGTTAAATATATTTCATTATAATCTTTTAAGTTTTTTACGTATGTAGATATTATAATTTAATGAAAAAAATACATATTTAATTTCATTTTCTTTAAAAAAAAACTTATTTTACTTTCGTTAGAAAAAAACATTTGAGGCTCTACAATCTTAAAGTAAAATTTTATAAAAAATCTAGCCGAATACAAGTTATTTGACATTCAACATGTTTAAATAGATATTGTTAAATAGTTCGATTTGTGCGAGGAGCAAAATTCGATTCCTGATTTAAGCAATTGCTTATATTGAACATTTCGTGTAAAAGTTATTTAAAGTTTAAAACATCCTGAAGAGAGAGCCTGAACATTATTGAAATTTGTTTTATTTATTAATAATATTGTCGTGTTTTTATTTTCAGATAAAAAATGCCATTTTTAGAAATAGCGTTTCAAGCGGAAATTAGTAGATTTGAAGATGCAGATTTCGAAGACACTGCCCGACGTACCTGTAATGAGGATCCGAAAACTAGGCATATTGCCATCGAGGAATTGAGGAATATGATATATCGTATGTGAGAGAGCATGCTAAAGTTAAATTATTCATATTTTTTCCATACTTAAAACCATGCTATGTTATTTTAATATTAATTTTGTTGACAAAGTATTTTATTAATATTTATTTAAAACTAGATGGATATTTTAGAGTACAAAGTCAGTGTATTTTATTTACATACTTGAGTAGGTAATTAAAATAGCATTGCATAATAAATAACGAGTCTTTTATACTAATAAATATAATGGAAATAACAACAAAGTTACACTAGCTTATGCGATGCAAAAATCATTGCTTTTTAGAGTACCGTATCTCAAAAGGAAGAAAGGAACCCTTGTAGGATCACTTTGTTGTCAGTCTGTCTGTCTAAATATAAAACTCATTAAAATTATAAAAATGTTTAAAGTTATAAAATATTGTTAGGTACTTGGTGCAATTTTTCATTTTGTTAATTGTTGATAGGCTGTCTGTAACAACTATACCTTCGAGACAGTCTCTCCCGTGACCATGGATGCTGTAAAGCATTCGAAACGTCGGGAACCAAAAATCAAAATAAATCCGCGAAATAATCCGAAAAGATAGTTTTATTTAAAACTCTAAAGGGAGTCAACACCTATAGGGTACTTCCTGTTGATATAGAATCATGAAATTTGGCAAGAAGCAATGTCTTATAGTACAAGTAAAGAGAAAAATCCAAAAACACAAAATTATACTTTGTTCAAAAAACATTTTTTATGCGATTATAAACTCGTTGTGTTTGTGTGAACCCTGTTTTTTTATAATAGTTTTTATGTTTAGAGAGAGGTGAATGTCATCCGCGGCGAACAGATGACGCGTATCTCCTACGTTTCCTGAGATGTCGAAGATTTATTCCGGCTCTAGCGCATAAATTGGTAAGGTTTTTTTTAATTATATTTTAAACTTATTTTTGTATTTGAAAATTATAGATATAACATATATATTTTTTTATAAAACAAAATTAGAATTTATAAAATTGTAATGTATGTATCGTCGATATGGCGTTCAAAAATATCATGTTATACCTATAGATATGTTGCTAACAGGTATAAAAGAGAACTTACACATGAACAATGATTTGAACAATTTTGAAGATTTTATATTAAAATGATTTTTTCGTTAGTTTGTTTAACTTTTTTATATAAAACTGTAAAATAATTTTAAAAAATAGTTTTATTTAATACTAGCGACAACCCCCGCTTCGTCCCTAGTGAAAAAGAAAAACAAATGTATCCCGCGGGAACTGTACACTTTTCCGGGATAAAAAGTAGCATATGTGCTATTTCAAACTATAATCTATGTCTGTGCCAAATTTCATCCAGATCCGTTTAGCCGTTCTAGCGTGATTGAATAACAAACAACCATCTATCCAAACTTTCGTATTTATATAGTAGTAGGATATCCAATACTCGCGTAAATCTATGAAAGTATAATACAACTAGCGGCTCAACCTCGCTTCGCTCAGGTTCGCCTCTAGACAAACAAAAAAAACAGATCTATCCCACGCGGATCGTAATTTTTTCCGGGATAAAAAGTAGCCTATTAATTATTCTGATATATGAACTATATTATTGTAAAGTCTCATTAAAATCCAACCAACAGTTTTTGCGTACTAAGCTGTATAAGTTACTATAGTTTTTTAACTATTCCACGGGAACTCTTTGATTTTCCGGGATAAAAAGTCCAAAATGTTAGCCAGGGATATAAGGTACCACCATGCAAAATTTCATTTAAATGGGTTTAACAGTTTCGAAGATTAGGCCGTACAAACAGAATAAACGTAACGACAGAGAAACAAAAATTTTGAAAAAAAAATCTGGATTTGTTCTATTTCTCTTCTTACGTCCCCCTGTCTTACAAACCACGCGAAACAACGAAAAATAACAGTATTTTATCATAAATTTAAGTGTGGTGGACATAAATCATTACACAATATAATGATCATTTCCTCTCACATTTTGTTACAATTACCTTGACATGAAAACGTACCTCTCCAATCTCATGGCGATTGTGTTCTTACTATAGTCATTTTCCCACAATTCGACATCAAACAAAACATGTAAATTATTTTACCACCATAATTGCACAATACCGACGCGATGTACAATTACGAATAAGTTTTTTTTTTAAACAAATAAGTTATTTTTAGATATTATATTTAGTTTAAGGGAAAGTGAAAGAGTGAAAGTTAAGATAATAACATCATGAACAATCACAATCTTAATTATAACTTTGGTTGGAACTATATTATCTAAAGGTATGGTTGTCAGTTAATAGTTTTTAACCGACTTCCATAAAGGAGGTTCACATTAAAAAAATCAACCATAAATCTATACATATAATAAAATTCTAAGTCGAATCTGTACATTAAATTTTTTTTGGAAAATCTCATTGAAATAGACATTATTATCGATACAGAGGCCGAATCTATAGTTTTTAGAATTTTTGTCTTTCGGTCTGTCTGTTACCGCATCACAGAAAAGCACTGGAGGGATTTTGATGAAATTTGGTATGGTGATAGCTGGTTAGCCGGGTCAACATATAGGATACTTTTTACCGCGGAAAAATATCTCATTTCTGAGAAAAAATACAAAAACTGCAAAGTAAGAGTATACTAATATGTAAAACCTAAGAATTAATTTTTGGTCATCTGAACGTGTGCGGAGCCGCGGGCAATGCTAGTTATTATATATTTTTTCACTAAATTATTTAATTGAATATGTTATTAAAAAACTTTCTTCTTAGAAATTACCTGCTTATTACGTCTACACTAAAAATGGAAAAATAAAAACTTTATAAAAAAGTAAAAACCGACTTCCAGGCACTAGAATGTAAAAAATAACTAAACGGGGGTTTTCATTTAGAATAGATACCTAATCAGATATTTTCGAAGTCAGTACCAGCCGATTATATTTTAAGATATGAATATTAATACGTAAATATGTATTTTACGCGAAATATATTACATTTGCTTTGCATCGGCTGGCTAAATGAAAACCCCCGTTTACATTTTAGTGTCTGGAAGTCGGTTTTAATTTTTTTATAAGAAGTTTTTATTTACAACACAGAACCAGAGTTAACGTCCATCTGCTTAAAACTATTCGTTTATAGAAGGTAAAATTCTTTCATCCAAAAAATTCTCAGGTAAATACTTCTAGCAACGTCTTAATACGAGAACGTATGAGCTTTTAAACATACTAAGTGTTCGCCTAGTGGTCGAAATTCAGCTATAATAATTATTATAAATGGACGGTAAATGGCTGACAAACACAGGAAAAATGGTACTAAACTTTTGTTTGCCAATTTATATATACATTTTTTTTAATATATTTATTATTATGTTCCTTTCAGATGGTCCGCTATGAAGACTTTCGTTCTAAAAACATGTATTTGTACCAATGCAATGCATTTGATTTACATCGTGTTAAAGGCGTGTATGGGGGAACACTGCCGGAAAGCCCTGTCCACGGCAGGATAACACTTATGAGATTTGGTAAGTCCTTAATAATAACGTTGAATATTTTTATACGTTTCCTATAGATCGTTTTTAAATATGTAGCTTTTTTTAATCTCGGCATGGCATATAGCATAATGGCAAGTGTTTTGTGAACTTTTAAAGATTTCGTAAAAACTGAATTAAAAAAAAGTGGTATCGACTTCAGCCTTGGACTAAAACAGAAGGAAGGGTTCTTTTGTCTAGATAGATGTTGACGAACGACAGTGTCGCGAGTTCCCGAGTTATTTTCATACTAGATACAGAGACTAAATTCTCAGAACTTAATTGCTACTATATGTACCTATATTTTCATGAATGTTTCGTAAAGTGTTCTTTTTACTTAAATAACGATGTGTGTGCATTTTCTGGATAGCTCTAAAAAATTACGTCACTAAAGATAGACAGCTCCAAGTGTGTAAAAAATAGGGCTGAATGAATGAATGAAAATAACTAGATAAAGTGTTAGATAACAAGCAACTAATTTATATTACTAAAATCTTAAGAAAAAAACTATTTATGTACATATTTTGTAATATTTCCAGGTCGGTGGGAATCAGAAACCGTACCAATAGTAGATGTAGTGCGAAGTGCTCTCCTTATGAATGAAATAGGATTAATGCAGCCAAAACTACAAATCATAGGAGTCACCGTAATAGTTGATTTGGAAGAACTTAGTTTACGCCGCCATGTGAGACACCTCACACCGACCATAGCTCATCAAATCGTTAGTTTAATGGGGGTAAGATTTTACTAATAAAAATTATAATTGGACCCAGTTATGCAAAAAACAGCCATGTGCGTAAAAGTACCAATAGAGTTATAAGCATTTTATTATAAAAAATAAAATAATTATAAAAAATAAACAACACTTATATAAATATTGTTCAATTTTAAAATAACCAGAAAAACAAAACATAACCCAAGTGCAACTATCGACAGAAAAATGCTTATAACTCTGTTGGTACTTTTACGCACATGGCTGTTTTTTGCATAACTGAGTCCAATTACGCATTATTAACATTAAAAATTAGGTAGATAAACTATAGTGTCTTGTCCAGATCTTATTTTGCTCTTCCATTTTTAAAACAAACTATTATTCGATTGCCTTTTGCTTAAGTTTAGATAGCTAGTGCAGTAAGTCCATACAAGACCAGTTACTACGAGTACTTGACAGCTTTTTAAAATCGTTATTACCTATCTACATATATATGTAATTAATGGGAAGCGTAAATTATGTTTTTCTAATTGTTAAGTAAAATTATTGAACTTGGCTGTTTTTAACGTTCTAATTTTGTTATTGTTTAAATTACTGAGTATAAATAATACGATTTTATTTCTTTTGACTTGAGTTTATAGTTTTATACAGCTGTTTTCAAATTATTCTAAAAAAAACTTTTTTTCATAAAAAAATATACATATTTATAAAAATATTAAATAAGATTCACATATATAATATCTGTTTTAATACTTTCAGGTGTCGTTCCCCATACCAATCCACGCACTCCACATAGTTCGATACAATTGGATCCTAAACACTTTCTTCTACATATTCAAGCAGTTTATTCCCGCAGCAGCGTGGGATCGCCTTCATTTCCATGGATACGATATGGCCTCCTTACAGAAGCATATAGACCCTATACATTTACCCCCGGAATATGGGGGAAGATGTGACCATGTGATTTCATTTGAAGAGTGGGTGAAAAAAGTCGATAGATATAAGGATGATTTTTTGGTACAAGAGCTAAGGGCACTTGGTTTTACGGTTAACAGTTAGTGAAAAAACAGTGACGGTATGCAGTTAAATAAAGGTCCGTGAAGGTCATACCTATATGCATCTCCTTCGTATACATTAGTTTAAAAAGAAACATGGCAGTATTTAATTTAATTTTTGGCGTTTAAATTGTATGAGCGCCAAAACGGAAATTAACACAGACCAAAATCGGCAGTACTAAAAATAGTTAATAATAAGTATACTTGATAAGAATTACCAAAAAAAACTTATACAAACTGTGACTTGTACTAAATAACTATAAGATTTGCCTCAAACATAACTCTGACCCAAGAGATAGATAACTAGTACGTGAGATAACCATTTAACAAAATTAGTTCCTATAAAAAAATGAGTGCGTGTAATGTTTACGCGCGGTAGAAGTAAAACTTCTTCGGCACTGTAGCAGATACCGCAATTAAATTAAATAATAGATAAATAACACATACGATGGGACATTAATACACAGCACCATCTAGTTCCATGGTAAGCTACGAGCCTTGTGTTATGGATACCAGATAGTGATTCACCACACATATGTAACTTTAAACAGACATGATGATGATGTTCTCCCGACCGATTCCGGCCACGGCGGCCAATCTCATTGAGACTAGCCAACTGCGCAGGAGATATTATAGTGCACAAGTGTACGCGCAGACACAAGTGCACTCTCTATTCCTGTCACTCTCAAAACAGACATAATATGTACATAATATACAAACATTTTATAAATATAAAATCCATGACTGGAATACAAACATTCGTGCTCATCACACTAATGAATGCCCCCAGCGGGACTTCAACCCGCGACCGCTGGCACCGCAAATAGGGTAACCACTTCAAACTAAGCCAAATGTGTCGTCAATTAAAACAAATCAAAATATAAATATAATATATGTATAAAATTATTAGTAATAAAAATATATTATTTTAAATAATGATTCTTATAAACATATAAATATAATTTTTTTTCAATTATTAGTAAAAAATATGACTTCTCCAATGTATTGACTTACCCCTCAGTCACGCCTAAAGAAGTTTTACTTTTAAAAAAATACGACTATCTACTGTAAGACATGTAAAATATGACATATCATTTATATTCGTGTATCTAGAAAGAATAATCATGTATTATATTTAATTTTTAAAAGTTTATATTTGTTATTATTGTTTAATAATACACGCACATTACCCGCATATTTATACGTTAGTCGTTAAGTTTTGGGACAACATACAAAGATTGGATTCCTTGTCTATATTCTTCATAATCACGATAAGCTGTAGTTAGAAATAGTATAATTATATATTATATATATTAAAATGAAATAATGACATCCACATAAACCTTTTTTGAAAATCGGTCACAAAATTGAATTGCCTTCTATTTTGATTGATAGATTAAGGTAATAATAATAACAATCAAGCTTCAACATTTAACATTTAAATTGCCATTTAATCGTTTACAACTATTAAAAAAAATACCAATCGAATTGAGAACCTCCTCCTTTTTGAGGTCGTTTAAAAAAAGTAACGCACAAAATGATTTAACTAAAATATTAAATGTTATGTATTTCCTTTTAATATAGCGACTAGCGACTCAACGTACGTACGTTTTAACGGTTAGTATGGAATAGATAGACTATACATATATTATATATACAATATACATAGGTACAAAATAAACAGTTCTGAACTTTTTTAATTTTTCAGCTGTTTTTTGGGTTTTTCCCCAATTTTTTATACTTAAACCACCCCTGACCAACACAACCAACAAAACAAAAAAAGAATTACTTAAATCGATCCAGCCGTTTTTCAGTTTTAGCGAGACCTAACGAACGACAATTGATTTATATGTAGGTATATAAGCTATCTTTGATAAAAATCTATATATAAAATTATGTGTGTGTACGTAGGTCCTTATCATTCATTAGCTCCGTCTTGGGTTTTAGTGTTCTAATTGTGATAATAAGATAACATTGTATTTACATACTTAATTATACTGTAAGAAAAGAAATTAAAAACAAGTACAATAAATTATATTTTTTTGCACTGCTATTTTATTTCATCATCATCGAAGCATTGAATTCTCATTTACATTATGTACTCACTAAAGCATTTTAAGTACATATGGTACGAATAAATAACTAAGTTTTGACTAAAAGTATAATTATTAGTTGTATATTTTTTAGTTATTATAAATCTTAATGCTATCATAATGCAACAATTTTCTAAATTTTAACTACCTATTTAATATTTATTAAATTATTAAATATTATTGTTATTAATAGATCTATTATTTATTTAATATTTTTTCTTATAGAAATTAAAAATATATTTTTTCCTCAGAATTAATTATTATTTGGGATGTCGTTATAAAAATTCTTTAGAATTAAAGTGAAGCATTCGTGGATAGATCTGGTTTCATAGTTAACAAATTTGCCCCAAAACACCTTTGAAAACCAATCAATTAATAATAATGAATTTTATTCACTTTTACAGAGAACAACCGGCGAGAAAGTCAATATTTGCTTTTACAGTTTTTTTTAATAATAGCTATAATTATACCGCATACTTAGACTAAGAAATACTATAGAGAGTGTCATAGAACTAAGCAGCCAAATTATGTTTTAAAATAGTATTCAAATATTAATAGAGTACTCATTACCGTGATAAAGAAATAAATGTTATAAGGTATATCTCTTTTTTAAAGGAATAGAACTAATGCCTAAAAATACAAAAGAATATAATATTTTTATTATTCATTAATAATTACATTTTATTCTCAAAAATTGTACTAACAAAAAAAACTTCATATAAAAAGCGTATTAAAGAAAATAAACAATATGTATGGCAAAATCTAGAAAATAAGCATAAATAACAAATTACGTTACTACAATTTAGTAATGTATCAACAACTCTTCTTAAATTAATAAATTACACAATTTATTTCACATATATTAAATATATATATATATATATATATATATATATATATATATACATAATAAAAAAAATACAAATACACCAAGCCATCATATGTTAACAGGAGGTCATTTTAAGGTTGTTAAATTACGCAAGATCATGCTTCGGAGTGTGATGATTCCTCAATAGCTCTTTTTCCAATTGATATACAGTTGTATCAATGTCGTTGAAGAGAACTTCTTCCGTGCTATGTTGCCCTGGTACAATCGGGGCAACATAGTCGTATGGCCCACCACTGTCAAGGTAATCGAGCGTGTTGTACGTGTTGTCGTATCTCCTGGGACCGTTTTTCATATGAGCTGGTATATCTGATGTGCCGTGAACGATTAATGTTATTGGACCGATTTCACCATCGTTTGGTTCATTTGTCTGCAAATGTTTTTTATTGAAGTAAAAATTTTTATTTTCAGGTGCATTTTGTGCTTAAAAAATATTTTATTTCGCTGTTTATTTTAATTATTAATTTACATTAAAAAAATATGCTTTTACTTGAAATAATAAATTAATTTTATCATATTATTAAATATTTTTAAAAGAAAATAAATACACTTTTATAATTTGTCGCTTAGTCATTTACCGTATCCTGTATAACAACTCTCCATACACCATTAGCCCGTTCACCCCACGTAGCGACAGAGGTCAATGGCCAATTGACAAATCCATTGTTTGACGTATCCCTTGGCCTTGCACTCAGTATTTGAACTTTTGTACCTAAAATGATAAATATTTATATATTCTAATATTTTAAATTGTTTATTTTAACTGTTTTAAATACATAATGATAATATTATCTAAAAATATATAATAGGTATGTATGTATGTACTTATATTTTTTGGAAACTAAAGTACTATTACCTTCTGGCGAAGTCAAATAAATATCCAAAGCTCCTCTTCTAGTGTATTGTACATTTATAAATAATTGAACATGTTCGATATAATTAATTAGACAATCATCTACGTAGATCGTGATTTCCACTGACTCCTTTGAAGATATGGGAACTCCTTGTTTTGAACTAAAATAAAAAAAGTTGTTTTTCATAAAAATGTTTATTAATAAAATATTAAATGACAAATTATTTATAATTAATAATATAGATAGATAGATAGGTTTGCGAAATGCATAAAAAACCTAAACATACCGACCGATAATTATAATTGACCTTAGTTTTTTTTCTACATACATATTTATTTGTAAATATTTTCTTTTTTTCGTAGTTTTCCTTCATCCAATCCCATCAATAGAAACAACGGAAACGTTCCTTCTACCAAGAAAACATGACTTTAGAACAGTCGTCTACATCTTGCATCTCTTTTATACCAAAGAAAATTATATACAAGCGTCTCTGTCTAACGAATCGCGCGAATACTCGACTGACATGCAGAAAATGTGTTTTGGTGACTATCGTTTAAGCGGCCATTTCTAAAAAGCTAATGTTTCTTAACCAAATGTATGGATGTAAAGGTCGTGAAAAGTTGGTCATTGGTTAATTCGCGATTGACATTGCGAAATCCGAATTCCGTCAGCCGAAACTTAACGAATCTTTGACTAGGAATACATGAACAAGTAGAAGGTCTTTTGCCACTGAATACAAGGCCCAGCCAGCCCTACCAGCAAACAACACTGTCAGTTAGTCCGACCGTCCAACGGAGCAACGAACTGTCCACCTCGATACAAAATGAACCACGGTTTTACCAGGGCGCCATACTCACGTAGGAGCTTCGATTCGACACTCGTGTTTATCCGGCACCGTAGTCCAATTCAAAGCGGCAGCGACAAGAGCGCCAGCGTTTAGTAATCCAAAGCCGAAACGAACGTCGAAACGCAATCCAATGCTGAAAAAATCATAACTTTTTAATTAAAAACCGCCATTTTGTGAACATCGTGAAGTTTTTACAAAACGATTATTTTCCACCCACCCATTTATTTGCCAACCAGGATTTTCTGAGAGTGGTGCATATTCTGAAGTCCATACGATCAAATGTTGAACATCACGCCATGTTAAGTTAGGACTAAAAAAAAGTAATAAATCAAAATTATCCACTGGTAAATAAAATTTTGTCCCTAACGACCCCAACAAACAGACCGTACAAGATAACTAGTCCATTAGAACCTAGTGACTAATTGCCGCGCGGTGGGAAAAGACTAATAAAAAAAACTAGACCACATATCTTGGCTCCTTACGGTCTTATTGCTTTAATAGTTTATCTATTTGTAGGTGTAAAATAATAAAGATAATATCAAAGTAAGAGACATTTTTAGGAACATTTTTTTTTCAAAAAAAAAAAAGATTTTTATTGAATTTTAATACATATGGATTATGAAAGTTTATGTATGATAATAAAGTTAGATAGTAAATTCAAAAGCGAGTGTTTTTACCATAAAATAGGTGATGTTGAAGCGATGTTTACTTTTATTATTAATTTGAACAATATTTAAAAATATCGATATCTATTTAGTTCGCATAATATAATAACGGACTAAGATCCCGCTGCAAGCTTACTACGTTCATAGCATAGCGTATTTAATCAAAATCATTTTTTAAAATACAATAATAAAAGTAACAATATGTTTTGACCGGGGTGCCTATTAAAATGTGGCCGCTAGTATGTTTAATTAAATAAATAATAATTGACTTTGTAACAAAAACGATGCATTTGTTTTTAAAATGAATTATACTCCATTCACAGAAATATACGTAGGTAATACGTATAGATCTTGAAAAGTGATAGCTGCCGTTGCGCACTTGGCCGCAACCTCTTCCCAGCATATATATATATTATAAGCAGGTCATATTTTGTTTCGTTTATACGTTCATGGCGTACTTATATTCATCATTTATATATCTAATTAAAGCTAATTTTTTCTATACCTGATAAACTACGTCTGCCTATGTGAAAGTGGCCGCAAAAGTGGTTGCGAGTCATTAAAGATTTTTGTGTTACATGTATACGTTAATGGAGTATATTCATCATTTATATATCAAACTAGCATTGCCTGCGGCTCCGCCCGCGTTCAGATAACCAAAAACCAAATTCTTAGGTTTTACATATTAGTATACTCGTACATTGCAGTTTTTGTATTTTTTCTCAGAAATGAGATATTTTCCCGCGGTAAAAAGTATCCTATAAAGTTGATCCGGATAGCCAGCTATCACTATACCAAATTTCATCAAAATCCCTCCAGTGGTTTTTCTGTGATGCGGTAACAGACAGACAAAAATTCTAAAAACTATAGATTCAGCCTCTGTATCGATAGTAATGATTATTTCAATAAGACTTTCCAAAACATATTTAATGTACAGATTCGGCTTAGTTACAATGTTATTATATTATGTATAGATTAAATCTATTTTTTTTCTGTGCATGATAAAATACCTATTTAAAGGTGGCCGCAATGAAAAGAAAAGAAGGAAAAAATATAATATTGTATATTATCATTTGTCAGACAATAGCAACGGTTACCATGGCAACGAACAGTTAACTAACGCGCTATCACTCTTTCACTTTAACCTCATACTGCATAATACTTATATTCCTTCGTGAACTTGTTATCATCGTCTTTTTAGTTAGCTTTTATGCAGTCGGGTTTTTTATTTTTATAGTATATTTATTTATTTTATTACTTTTAATTTTACCTGTTTCGCGCCTATCTAGACAGTGTGGCCAGTATGTAAAATTTAAATATACTTGCTATGAAGAAAAGCCGTCCAAACAAATGTATACTCTATGTTAGTGACAAAAAAAAGCGTTCAAACTTCTAAAAAGTTCAGGCGGACGGGACCACCGGTTGATCGACGCTCTAGGCTACGCTAGGGTAACAGAAGCATCGAAGAGATATCTTTTACTATGGGGACAACGTTTTATAATACTATTTATTTTGTGCTGCTTTGTCTAAGTATTTTTTTTTGTTAAATTTGCTAACATACGTCAAAATAACAATAGGTAATGGAAATTACTCCTTCAGTCAAATTGTTTAAGCAAATTTTTTTTAATATTTAACTATAAAAAATAATTTTAGATGATGAATATTTTAAAAATATATACATATATATATATTTTAAGTTGATACTAATATCTATAGGATTAGACAATAATAATAATAATTAAACAACAACTACCATTGATTTAATTAATGAAAACTTCAACAATGAACAGACATACACAAGATTTTAAATTTTCGTAATTAAAGCAAATATTTTACTTTGCATGTAGTGCCAAGGCGATAATACCAGCAGCCAATGGCGCAGCAGCTGATGTCCCTGTGTGACCGAGAGTGCATGAATCTTTCGTGTCTGTTGTCGCCTGAAGCAAAAATATATAACTGTCTCTGTTTAATTCATACTATAAAACTAGGAAAGAAAAGGATAGATTCAACACGTGATCGTTTACTCGAAACTAGTTTCTATTGAATATAATTAAATCAAAATAGAGTTTAAAATGCCTTACAATTTTCTGATCTTTGTAAGCACCAGAGGAGTATGCGGTTGCCAGGGTGGAAGAGCAGATTTCTCCGTACCAAGGAAACAGGCCTTGCTGGGAAGCGCTACCAATTGATATTGTGTAGATACTTGAAGAATAGCTTAAAAAAATAAAAAATAAGTAGATAAAAAATTAACGAACTATTTATGTAATAATAAAACTAAGTTTAAATAAAACTAATTCCTTACCCATCACAGTTGCAGTTATCATTATGACCGCCACCGTTACCGTTTGCCCACACAAAAATATTTCCTTTTCCACCACGACCCTAAACCAAATAAACAAACAATATTTTGAAACATTTCATCTTTATAAATACGAATATATGTAAAACAGTATCAGGTCTGGCTTAACTCATTTAGGTACCTATGTGAAATTTTGAATAGACATAACAATTATCTTGTTTTTAAAATCTATTGTTTTTTTTCCACGATTTTACCGAGCAAGAGGAGCAAAGACTAAGAATCAATAATAATAAAGATACCAGTTAGACTCAGATACCTTTTCAATTCCTCGTTTGAAAGCTTCATTTGCAAGCCTTCCCGGTCCTTCGACAGTTTTCCCATCATCACTTGGACCCCATGAAGCACTGTAAATATCCACTTTATCCCAAGCGTATCCTATAACGAAAATATGGTACATATGTATTTTATTCAAAATAACTGCCTCGGTGGTGTAGTGGCTAGCATGTACGGCTGCACACCCGGAGGTCCTGGGTACGAGTCCCGGGTCGGGCCAAGTTTAGTTATTGAGTCTTCCTGTATAGTAAGTCTCAGTAACAGCCCGGAGTTGGGAAGTTGGCGGTGTTTCACCCCCGTGCCTCGGAGAGCACGTAAAGCCGTCGGTCCTGCGCCTTAACTCTCACCGGTCGTGTCGAGTGGTTGTCCCACCGAAATATGAGAGTGATAGGAATAGAGAGTGCACTTGTGTCTGCGCGTACACTTGAGCACTATAATATCTCCTGCGCAGTTGGCTAATCTCATTGAGATTGGCCGCCGTGGCCGGAATCGGCTAGGAAAACATCATCATTCACAATCGCAATACACAATAATTATAATTTCATATAAATATATATATTTAAAAAAAATATAAATAAATATTTTTATTATATACATAGTAGGTAAATTTTAATTTTTTTAATAAACAACAAATCTCTGATCTACTTAGTTTGTTTTCTAAGACATCGATCAAAAATGTACTAAATACACAACAATCCCATGAAAAATAAATGGGTTTTAATGAAACTTTACAATATTATAGCTCATACATCAGAATAACAAATATGCTACTTCATATCCCGGAAAATATAGGGTTCCCGTGGGATAGATTTGCTATAATATTTCCATAAGTGTTTGTCACATTAATTAAACAAAAAACGGATATAGGTAATAGTAAAGGTCATTTCAAGATAAGCTGTTAAAATATCAGTTTTATGCTTAGGTACATGGTTTGGTCTGGGTTCTAATACCTCCGAATTTTTATATATAAATAAAATATAGCTATAAATAAAATTGACATATATTATGGCATATTCTCAATGCGATAAAATTTCACAACTCTTTTCAAACCTGCCGATTTCTCTATATAGGTACTAGTTTACCACCGATTCAAGATATTATGAAAAACTCAGCACTATGAGAAAAATATGAACTGCTTGTAATACATGCTCCCCTGGTAATACGAGGAATGTAAAAACCTGTTGCCAATCTTATCAACAAGTTGGTCGATGAGTAAAGGTTTCCTTCAAAACCACTCCTCTTGCTTGCTGTATTTGTTATTTTAATATTTTTTTATATTAATGAATGTAAATTTTATTTTAATGAATGTAAATGTGCTAGATTCGTAAAATTTGAATTTCATTGATCAAGTAACGAAAAAAACTAATTATGTACTTCCTGTTGTAAATTAAAAAAAAATAAGCGATCCAAAATACCATGATTCCATAATTTGTCGGTTATTGGTTATGGATATTAATGAACGATTTGAATAAAATAATTATGTACATATTTTAAAAAAAATAAATAAACAGTAGTTGCATTCATCAACTTCAACTTAATTCACCAACTCAGTCAGTCACTGAAAAGGCCAAACAAAAGAAGCATCGATCGTGTCAGTTGTTTTTTTTTTTTTGCTTCAACAATGTTTTGATGTTACGTCACATTTTAGTCTTGTTATATTATACAACGTTTATAATAAAGATAATAAAAACATCTCGACGAGGATGACGCCATTTTGCCTGGCAAAATGGCGGCGATGTTTGTTAAAATAGTACTTTTCTATACGAAATTTTATTTAACTGTTATTTAAAAGCAATTAAAACTGTTCATTACTTACCCAGTAATAATGTAAATCCATTTTATGATCACTTCAACTTCACTACACAATGCACATTTACACAAAGCACTCGCGAACAATGCGCACGGGTCGTGCGCTGTCACAGTCAGACAGGTCTTTTTGACACCCGACTCAATGAGTCGGTGTAACACATGGCAGGATACTAGGAAAGCATAAGCATATAGGAGTTCGTTTACTACTACTACAACGTATTTGCTGCCAGTCGCGATACTATAATATATTTATTTGAAAGAGTAAAAGAGATATATGTATATATGGCTACTGACATTCATGGGTTATCTCGCTTATCTAAATAAAACTATATTGAATAGTTAATTATTATAATTATTTGTTACATGAATGTATATGTATATAAAAAGAATATTAATAATTGGTATTTCAGTCCAATATATTCTTTCATCTTTCATTACCAGTGAACTTGATTTTTATCGAACAAGTTATACTAGAAACACTCTCTCGTTAACGGATACAACACACGCGCATACGAAGGAAATGGTGATGACACCACAACTCCAAGATATGACATTTTGAGCTCAACATGGCGATCAAAACTACCAGGAAAGCATGAACCTACAGTAGTATCAAACCTATAGCTTCGCCTTCAATCCGGTCCGTGATTCGACCGTCGAGCATCCGGACTCCGCCCACTTTAGCTCCCCACGCCACGCCCACGCCACATTTCCTATTATTCGCCGTCATTGCTATCTGAAACGAATAAACAAAAATCAATTTATTATAATAATTAATTACACAAATATTGAAAAAGTTAGACATTTCAATACAATAATGAAATATTCATTTTAATTTTGAAAATTTTAGTGTATTTTTATTTACCTCTCCAGCGCATCTCGTTCCATGAGAATTACTATTTTTGTCATCATATCTTGGAAATGGATCTGGATCTCCATTATTACTGTCCCAACTAATCTCAGGGTCCTGAAATATTATGAATTTAAGGCATAATTTCTTTTTATTGAAGAAACGCCAAACCTTTAAGATAGATGGCGCTGTCTCCATTTACAGAGCTGAGCTGGTTTTGTTCGACCCAAACGTTGCATCGGCCGCGAAGTTACCAGGGCATTAGCGCACATTAGAAGGTTCTAATACGAGTCAAGTTGTACTTGAATATATATGCTCGCTACTTGAAAGAGCACGAATATTTTTATTATTGAAATAAATTATGTACTTTTATAGTTTATTCTCATATATATTATTATAAAATACATTATAGACGCTGATAATTATCAAAAAACGTACTAAAAATAAATAAACATTAGCATTTTTAAATAAATTCTTAAATAAACCGTGAAGGTTTTATTGAATAGATTAGTAAAATCTGACCATAAATAACCCTTTGGTATAAACTCTGTTCTAACTAATACCTAAGCTCATTTTTAGAAGATTTCTTTAATTCACGGATCAGCTTCATGGGAAGCACTAGGAAATCAGAGACAATAGAAGATCCTTATAATAGGCAATATCAATTACGTATATAGATTATAGAACAAAAAACTGTAATGCAATTAACTCTAGTATTTTCTCGTTTACTAACAATTGAAGCCTTGAATACTTTATTTATTAATTTAATACTTAATTCAATAAATAAATTAATCGTTACTAAAAAGAAAAATCTTTTTAGTAATAATACAACGATCTTTAATTAAGCGATATTGAAGAAAAAATATACCAAAATATTTTCTATGTATAGTTTTATATTGGATGGTGGAATTTATAGTAAGTTAGTATAGATTTCTCAGAAATGAGATATTATCCCGCATATATAACCATATAAAATTTACAACCATGGCCAGCTATAATCATACAAAATTTCATCAAAATCTGTCGAGTAGTTTTCTCATGATGCGTTCCCAGACGACAAAAAACTAATAAAATAATGACTATTACAATAAGATTTTCCAAAAAATATATAAGTAATATACAGATTCGACTCGGTTAGAATTTTACTATACATATGTATAGAAATGGAATATACATATATTCAGTACATAAGTATGTAGTTATTAGTAGTAAGTAAAAAATAAGTTAATAAATAAAAACGACCTATTTTTCTTCTAAAATACAAACTTGAACGACATTGTTTACACGACTAAGGCAACATGACACTTACGTAGTTATCCCGTAAGTCGGTGTGATTATGCTCAATACCATCATCTAGTATGGACACACGCACACCTTTGCCTGAGTACCCCATAGCGTAGACTGGGAGAACATTGAGATCCAGACGAGGTAAGTCTGCATCAGTTCGTGTGTCTTGCTTTAAAAAAGAAAAAAAAAATATATATTTTTAATCTTCCAAGAAATATTTCGGGTTAATTTTTGTTTTAAGAAGTAAAAACTAAAATAACCATAATATGCTTTTCAAATTATTATTTAAATATGAATACATTTAATACTATCGACTTAGTGTTCGTCCCTTGTGGAAAAACAAAAACAAATCTATTCTACGGGAACCGTACATTTTTCCGTAATAAAAAGTAAGTAATCTATGTGTTATTCCCGACTCTATCTCTGTGCCTTTCATCCAGATCCGTTCAGACGTTCTGGCGTGAAAGAATAACAAACAGCCATCAATCTATCCTCACAAACTTTCACATTTATAATACTTGTATGGAGTATGGATTAGTATGGATAGTATTAATAATAAACTTGCTCAGCTTACATTTTTTAGGCTAAATCTGCAAGAAAAATAAAAACACATTATTTTCAACATACCAAATACCACTCGTAGCTCCACAATTCATCATTGAATAGGCGATTTTGTCTGCGCAGCATTTGTTCACCTCTGTCGTCGTCTGAATTTATAGTTATTTCTTCTATTCTCTTCACACGGTTTAATTTTTTATTAGAGACAGGGTCAATTAACGGATAACGTTTTACACGACTTTTCACAAATAGCTGCTCTGCCCATCGAATCTAACAGAGAAAATCGACAATTTTTTTTATTTAAATAACGTTGTATAATTGATAACTATTACTATTTATGGAATGTAACGAAAAGTTAAATATATATATTTAAATTTAAACGCACACATTATGGAAATGTAAAAGGAAAAATAAAAGTTACACAACACGGGAAAATTAAACAAGGTTTTAGTTTTTTTTGTATTAATAAATATTCAAATTCAAAATATTTTATTCAGCATTAAATTATTACAATTTTTTACTGAACGTCATGAGTCTACTACCAGTTCGGAAAGAAGCCTCAGACCTGAGAAGAACTGGCGAAAGAAACTCAGCGTGACTAATATTAACACCTAATTGATTTCGCAACATAAATATGAAGTTGCTTTTAATATAGGCGATCAATTACAATCTTATCAGCAGCAAGGTACGAAATTACTGGGCTTGAAGAACTGATGTTTTGCCTTTTCAATATTTTTTTCTTGAAAATCCACCTAATTTTAAATTTTCTCAGGTGCCAAATAACAAATTACAAAAAAAAGGCTGAAACTAAAATTATACCGAAAAATATTAAATACAATCCGAAATATCATGTTACTCGTATACTCACTGAGTCACTACATCACGCCTACAATAAGCGTCTTTTCCTGTTCACACGTTATAAGGCCAAGGCCCAAACAGTATCTTACTCTAACTAGGGCGGGGGCATTAACATCCAAATTCACATAGGCCGCACACACCACGTGTATTGCAGCTGAGAACTACCAGGAGCCCATGTCGGCTAGGAAATACTAACCCTCGCGTCCTTTTGTAATGTGGATATGTGAAGGGTGCGCCTCTGCTTACGCTTGTATGTGCGAAACGCGTACATGTTGGGGAATCCCGGGATCTGTAAAAAGTTTTTATATTAATAAGTATTTTTATAAGGACTTAGAAATTTGTAACAATAGTGTAGTAAAATATGGATGAAAAGTGAATATTATTGAATTTTGTATTTGTTAGAAATACAAAGGAGTTTATGTTGGAAATTATTACAAATTGTTTATTATACCTACATCTTACATTTAAATTAAATATGTATAATCTAATGTTATTATTGATTGTACTTATAGATTAGTTTTTACAACTGAAAAATCATATCTGCTTCTGACAATTGTTTATTTCATATTAATGTATTATTATTTTTTCTTCAAAATAAAAGCATTTGCCATGTTTTTAAAAAATAAAAAAATCCAAAACTCAAAAGTTTCGTTTTTTTACGATAGTTTAACACTAAAATTTTTACTCTTGAATGTCTATTGATAATATTAAAATTGAATAATAAAACAATAAAGCTATTTACATTAGCTTGTGTCACAAAATCGACCGATAAGGAAAAGGGAAAAAAATGAAACAACCATTATGTTAACTATTTTGACTTATACCTACTCGTAAATTCGTAAAAATATTTTATAGTTAAAAAAAATCACAACTGCAAAAGTCATGAAAATACTTAAAAATATTTCATCTAGATCAATAAGTTTGGAATTTAAAAAGACAAATTATAGTATAATTTATTTAGCTATTTTTATTAACTACTGCTAATAAATCTAATTGCAATCGCAAAAATAATACGTAATGATGCTGATGCTTTTGTATACTCACATTATTTTAACCAATGAATTTATTTTCATTTTTGTGTACCGCCTGTATGCTTGTATTTACCATTTATACCAGAATATACGTCAATTCAAAAGAAACGTAATTACATTTTTTTTTAAATAATTTATTATAAAAACTTTACATGATATAAGTATGTAATTACAACAGCAGAAAATGCTAGAAACAGCGATGCGTCGGCCGCTCGAACTCAATACCATAGAACGCAGTACATTTTGTGATAGGCCTCTTATATGTATCTTGTTTTCTCAAATACTTAAGTGAATTGTATTCTTTTTTTTTTTGAAATAATTTTTGATTCCAATACAAGCTTTACGACATATTAAAACATAATCTTTGTTATTAACACAAATGGAAAAAATAATCCGGTGGGGCTGTGTCGGGGCATACCGCCATTAGTTTAACTTGCAAACGTCTATTTCTGCGCGTCGCTTTTAGTGTTTTTTTGTTTTTTTTTATATTTTGCATATTTGAAAACAAATTAGTAAAAATAGTAATCTTTGAAGATATATAAAGGAATGGATATACAAATACAGACAATAACAACGGTTGCTATAGTAACCTAATGCGACCCATTTCGTTACGGTCTACTTTTGGTACCTGTATGTTTCGGTGTGATTTTATAGACGTTTCACGTCAAAAACTATGCAAATATAAATAAAGCAAAATATGTAAATAAAGCAAAACACTTTAAATCGCTAAAAAATAATATCATATTCAAACTAGACGTCAACTATCCAATCAGAATGAAATGAAAATGTTATAAGGGATAATCCCACCCCTGTTAATCCAAGTTACTCCTACATATCACTAAATCCCTGGTATTCAATGCAGAAAACAATGGCGTGGAGGCGGCGCTATGACAACGACAGCTTGGGCGGCTTATCTTTTTTACTGGTAGCATAAATAAATACACAATACAATAAAATTCTAACAACGTCGAATATGTATGTACATTTTAGAAAATCTTATTGAAATAGTCGTTATTATCGATACAGATTACAGAAACCAAATCTAATAGTTTTTAGAATTTATGTCTGTCCGTTCTGTCTATCTGGGAACGCATCACGAGAAAACCACTGGACAGATTTTGATGAAATTTAGTATGATGATAACGGGTCAACAACATATTGTATACTTTTTACTGCGGGAACTTATCTCATCTCTGAGAAATCTTTACTAAACATTTTAGAACGTTTAAAAGATTTTTGATCCACATAAAAAAATTTTTGGTAAGTTTATTTTGCCCACTTTTAATAAAACAAATATTACCCTATCCTTGCCTTTTTTGTATTATTAGTTATTCTAATAGATATTTACATAATAAAAACATATCATTTTTATAGACGAAAAAAAATTCTAATTATTCCTATACAAAAAAAAAGTTTTATTATATGTATTTAATTAAACCACTTTACAATGAAATCGCGATAACATGAACGAAGGGGTCCTTCATTCATAAATCTTTTTCATACAAACAAAATACTTACTACTCACTATCTACAACCACTACAAAGCACACACACACCTCGTATTTGATGTCACTTGTCACATTGTGAATTGGATGTCGTCATACGATGTCCCAGGCACACGTTAGTACCAGGACTCCATGAGATGTGAGGAAGTCGATTACACATGTCGCGTATGGGCTTGGCGTGTAGTTATTTATACATGTAATACTCGAACTGCGTAACTAGGTAGCATGTTCAAAGTTACACTTGTAAATAACTTAGGATGCCTTCCAGTATATCAAGCATGTCGTTATTTCTTTTATTATCTTTTTGGTAATTTTTTTGCGTATAATATACTTACATATCTATACATATATAATAAAATTGTAACTGATCGCTATCTGTACATGGAAGATATTTGAGAAAAACAATTATTGGGGGTCTTTATTAACGCGATAAAACCCAAAACAATGATTTTTAGAATTTCTGTCTGTTTGTCTGTGCCTTTGTGCGCGCTAATCTCAGAAACGGTTTAACCGATCTGGGTGCGGTTTTAACTAATGTATTGTAGTAAGCTTTACTTAACATTTAGTATTGATTTTATTTCAATCGGTTCATAAATAAAAAAGTTATGTCAGTTTTAAGAATCACCTAGGGACGAACCCGAGCCACGCGAGGGTGAGTCGCTAGTATAACATAAAAGTACAATTAACACACGTACAAAATTAAATTTGCAATTTCAAATTAATTTCAATCACTCAATTACCTATTCAGTTAGCTGGTTCAGTAGCAACAATAGAATAATTTTGAGGGTATTATTTTTTTAGTTTTTAAACAACAATCATATATTATATAATTGTTTCAAACAGTTCTCGAACGTCCAAAAAATGAGTGAAATGGAAATGGGAAACAGAAAAATATTTTCGCTCTTCGTCCCGACTCCCGAGGTAATTCAGATGAATACTCGTATGTTATTGAGAAAACGATATACTTTATAAGTATTTTAAAGGAGACCCAGAGCATTACCCAGAGTTACGCCCACGTTCAAACTGCCGATCGCTACCAAAATTCATTGGATCACCCGCTGGGCTAATCTGAAGATTGCCTGAAAATTTCATCAAAATCGCTCCAGCCATTTTAAAGTCCATATGAACCATACATACACACATCGATGTTTAATTTTTATATATTACATAGATTATACCAATACTGGTAACTCTTTTATCTATTAGGCAGATATGTAGATAAATAGATATATTTATTTTATGATATAAAAATAAATTTAATTAAGCCGCGATTAACAAAATAATTATCGAAAAGTCCAGTATTACTAGTGCTTTATTTATTTCAAAGACCACTACAACAAATTAATTCCATAAAACTAGAACACTCAAACCACTTTAGATTATTGATCACATGTGTGTGGTAGCCACGTGTGAATGTGTCACGTCAGAGTCATGTGAGCTGATACAGTCACGTATGTACTAGGATAGCAGGAACGTACAGGAGGTTCACACATGCACGCACACATGCAAGTGCATGGGGTGTGGCAGGGTTGGGGAGCGGTCGATATCTCGTGGAGTTACTTCATACACTATAGAACTTATGATATACATGTGTTGTGTGTTGAAATATTTAAGCTGAGTGTATACAGATGTAAAATAATATAAAATGTTGCATTTTTTTTTAAAATTAAGATATTTGAGTTCAAAAATAATTTAGAAAAACCAATTAAGACGCATATATGTTTTATTATTGATACAGAAGCGGAATTTATAATTTATAGATTTTTTGACTGTCTTTCTGTCTGTCTGAGAACGCGTCACGAGAAAACCACTTGATTCTAATAAAATTTGGTATGACGATAGCTGGTTATCAGGCCATCATATAGGATACTTTTACTGCAGGAAAATATCTCATCTCTGAGAAATCTATACGTACTAAACTTTATAGTTTTAATGTAAAACTTTGGTTACAGGGGCGGCGTCAGAATTATTTTCATTACATCTTCATCTTCAAATTAAACTACGAGTACTAACTAATCTTTAAATGATAAATTTTATTCAGAAACGTAATTTTTTTTTGAAATATTTGTAAGGAATAATTTTTCTCTTTTTTCGCCGGTATTTAAATTTATTAATATAATTATATTTCTTTAACTTCCCTCTTAGCAAGGGGCATTTGCACCCCTCTCCGCCCATGCTTGGTTCATCATATTTTACTGATTGTTTAATATTACGAGTGTAATAACAGATATCGTATAATAAAAGTTGTTCAAGTGTTGTTGTGTTTTTGTAAGAAACATTAGAATTTAGAAATAACAGTAGAAAATCACATTTACTAATTGTTTTCACGAAGAAGTCATAAATTTACTTTGTTATTGTTATTATTCAGGCCAAGACACGCTTGAAAGCATTTTCTGAGTTTTCGCAATTATAGCTCATAAATATTTTCTTGTAATATCAAACCTACTCATGTTAATCGACAAAGTAAAAGTTAAATAGGCATTTTGAATAAAATTTTTAATTAGTTTTAACCGATTTTGACTTAATATTAAATAGATTTATTCATTTATACCTAATCATAGTGCTTTAACCACCAGATGTTAAATATAACGATTTTCATTACAATTGACTTAGCTACTATTTTGGCATGACACTTTATTGTCATTTAATCTATTAATAATTGTAAAAAAAAGACGAGATTAAATTGTAAAAGAGAAATAACTGTGAGAGAAATAGCTGAAATCAATTTTAAATACATTTAATAAAATTCTACA